ATTAGTGTATCTTCGGTCCATGGCTCTGTCCTCCATCCCACGCTTTATGCCCATAGAGTACCATTATTATGGCTCTTTGATCGTTCGGGGAAATGTTTAGGACTTATAAATTATAATTTTGGAGGGGAATTCCATCCCTAGTGAAATCATGTTATGTTCCATATGTCGCCCGGTATCTTTTATTAATCAGAGCACGTTGTGCCACCGAATGTGAAACCTCGTGCCTCGTTTCCATAGTTTAGGCCCCATTTCACATTCACGATGACCCAAGAATATTTCTTGATTAGCTCTTTCTTGGTCGTTCGGGAGTATAACCTTACCCGCATGGTCAGATCCGGATTTAGCCGCTTAGAGCGTAAAATGCGATGATTCCCCATGAACCTTCAACACCGTATGAGTGGACCCCTAAGACTTAGGTGTTTCCCACCGTGGATATCTTGAGACTTTGTTCGGGTTGATAATTCTCTGCGGTTCCCACCGTGGATATCTTGCCACCAAACTCCGCCACGCATCCCTCACGGGTTCGCCCCTTGGGCGGTGGTTTTAGTATAAATATGGGCAAGCTGGTGCTTCCTCACTTTCTGCTGCTTCTTTGCCTTTTGCCTTGCCGCTAACTTTCTCTCTCTAGAAATCATTCAGGCTCTCTCTTTCGATGTATTTACCACCTTTTCTTTTATGTCTAGCTATTTTTCTTCAGACGATGAAGATATGGTTTTGATCCGTCGTTCCTCAAGGGGGAAGGCCGGCCCCGAGCGGTCAGGCAACTCGCTCTTCCGTCCAGTCTTCGGACTCTCCCACTGATTCCCCCATTCCAGCGGAGGTCGAGTAGTCCCTCCCTGATGATGGATGCCTCGATGGGGAGGATCTCCAAAAATACAAGTGTGGGATGCACGAGCGGCCCACGTATTTCTTTAAACTTTCATTGTATACAGAAGCAACGTCAGCGCCTTCCGATAGATGCCGATCGGTAAGTGGCCCAATTCTTACCACCGCCAAGGCAATTTCACATCGGCTTTATTCGTCACCCGATGAGGCACCGACCGGAGCATGTGTTGGGGCATCTGGATGCCCTGGTGGCCGGTCTTCGCTTTCCTTTGCACCCGTTCGTTGTAGACTTTCTACGCTGGCTTTCGGTGCTCCCGGCCCAATTTGTGCCCAGCACCTACCACCTCCTTACAAGATTTATCATATGGTGCCATGATTTGGGGATTCCTCCAAGTGTCGGTTTATTTCTATACCACTATAAACATGAGCCGTACTGGAGTACCAGATATTTGAGGCTCACCGCTCGCCGGCGCTCGGCCATATCGCCAGCTTTTCACGAAAAACCCTACCCTCCTGAGAAGTGGGAGGAGCGTTTTCTGTTCGTTCATGTGGGCGAGCCGCTTCCTTTCCTTGATGTGTGGAACACATATCCCGTTCGGGACAAGGAGCCGGTATTGGATGCCGCTCTCCGATGCCAGGCCGATCGGCTACGTCTGACGGGTTCTCAGAACATTCGGGCTTATGTGACGCCCTCTAAAATTTTTGCCACTGGCATTGGTACTTCTTCTCAACCTTTCTGTCGTTCGGCATGTTTGTTTGTAGTTTGCATCTTTTGAGTACTTTTCTTTTGCAGGTGTGATTTCCTCTGAGATGAAACGAACGGGTCAACCTTCTGGCTCGTCCCATCCCGCTGGAAGGGGGGAAGGGAAACTCATCCTGGGTAGCGTCAAATCCGTTCATTAACCCGACCCTCGGGGAAACACAGAGCTTTCTCAGAAGAGGGTCCGTTCGAAGGATGTAGTTGTAACACCCCGGGGCCCCACACGGACCCGAGGTAGTTACTCTAGACCTCTAGTACTGTCCCCACAAACCACCACGAGCCTTTACCGCGCACTTTGTCCTCACTCATGCACGCCCTGAGAAACTTCCCAGGGGGTCACCCATCCCAAGACTACTCTCGTGCAAGCACGCTTAACTTTGGAGTTCTTGGGTGATGAGCTCCCTTAAAAGGAGATGCACCTCTGTTGGTATGAGTAGTACTATTAATCCTCTTAAATTAATCTCGGGTATTACAATCACCCCCACTTAGGATCGCAACGTCCTCGTTGCGCCCTTAAACCAATCTCAATAAAACCCCAGAATCTTGCCCCGCTAAGTGCCCGCCCGATATCTAACGGGTCAGCACACTGTCGCAGGGTTGTTCTGATACCACCTGTAACCCCCGCTATGTGACACTTCAAAAATTTAAATAAAAATAAAAATAATTTTTTAGTCAGATAAAATATTACGAAAATAACATTTTAATAATTAATTGAGTCAGACAAAAATTCAACAGTTGTAAAATTCTAAACAGATAAAATTTCAAAATTTATGACGTTTTAGTCAGATAAAAATATTTCAGTAATAGGAACAACATTTTATTAAACAAGTAAACCAGACAGAAAATTTCCAAGTTTACGACTTTTTAATCAGATAAAAATGGCCCGATAATAGAAGTTATGTTTTAGTATAAAATTAATTTTTATATAACTATTTTAGGTTGTATAATATACAAAGTATAAACTAAATAATTAAAATAATCATAATACATATATATATATATAATATATATATATATATATATATATATATATATATATATATATATATATATATATATATATATATACGTAGTAATAATAGTATAATAACCTACGTAATATTACATACATATATAACTAAGCTATTACTACCTACGTATTATAAAAGTATACTCCTAAATAAACTACTATAACCTAATTATAATACTATACTCCTACTATAATAAGTATACTACTAATAATATTCCTAAACGAACTAAAACAACCACAAACGAATATGAATTTCCTACTTCAATACGTATAAGGTTTTTGGCCGGCAACTTCAAAAAAAAAACTAAATTGATTAAACTCCAACTCCAACTCTAACATCCCAGCCTAAAACCCTCATCTTTCCCTATAAATAATAGGCCAGAACCTGTGTTTTCTTCATCCCAAAAAACTAAGAAATATACAAATATATGTATATATATATATATTTCTGCGACCCAGCGTTTTAGCCAGAACCAAGCCTTGAAAATACTTCTCAAACCTTCCCCTTCGTGATACGAATCCAACGGAAAAAGAATCGTCGAAAACGGTCGTGAAACGAGGGAGAAAAGCCTCGCCGGAGTTTCGCCGGGGAAAAACATTTCGACGGAAAACAGAGAAGAAGGAGTAACTGCCGCTGCCGCCAACCCACCACCGACATTCGCCGTCCCAAACGGAGCCAATAGCCGGCCGTTTCGCTCGTCCGACGAGGTGAGTTCTCCCCCCCCTGTTTTTCCCGTTTTCCGGCGAGCTGAGGAGGAAATAGACCCAGCTGGTCTGGTTTTTTGGGCCTTTTTCAGGATTGGGCCAGAAAATAAAATTTGGGCCAGTTCGGCCCAGTTGCAATAAAAAATAAAAATAAAATAGTAAATGAAATAAATAAAATCTGGAAAAATATAAATTAAATACCTAGTATACATATACATATTGGGGTGTTACAGTAGTAGATCTGACCGGCCCGGAAACTGTAAAACCGAGGATAGTTCCTTCCTCTTCCTCCTACAAGATTATCTTGTCTACCCCGCATGCTGAGGGTAAAGATCGACTGGAATTCTCCGGCATGAGGCCCCAATTAGAGGCTAAAATCCTCTTTGGTCAGACAACCAATGAAATAAATGCTACTATTTATACTATTTGGGGGTAGGTGAGGGGTATGAGGTGATCTATCATGATTGACTGTTTTCCAAGTCACATGTGCACCCATGCTCCCACTTGAGACCTCCATACTCCACCATTAAATGCACTCTGCCACTTGAGCGAATCTCTGATCGGTATCAAGATCCGCTAAGCTAATGATCCGGAAGAATAATAATTATCCAAGTGTTAATTACATTCCGTTCGGGATGTGCCGAACGGAAGTTTCTCTTAAGCCACCGAATTCCCGTTCTTCGCCATCCATTTTTCCCTGAGCTTTTCCCGTTCCCTGGGTCCTAGGGATATTTTGGGCCGGTATATTGAGCCGGACCCTAATATCCTATCAACAACTTATAACGTAAAATGATTAAAAAATTATCGATAAGGTTGACAAGTTGAAAATAAAGATAGCCAAATGAGGCCTTAATCTCTTTTAATTGAATAATATGCTTAACTGTTTGATTGGTTGTCCTTTATCTGTGAGATATTCCTAAAATATGAGAGACTGGCTATTTTATCATTAGCTTTCACTTTTAGATTCTCCATATTCCATAAAATTTTCATGGTGGGTGTTTGTTGAATGTATTTGTTGATATTTTATATGTTTGCGGTAAATTATTATAACTCCAAAAATACAAGTTCTTACTATAAGTTATATTCTTCTATGTACACGTTTTTATAATGGAAAACACCATTATGCGACTAAAATATGTATAGATTTCAAATACATATGATGTATGAGTACAAGATGCTATTAATATATGGGGGTTTGAAAAATACAACTAACCGTTTAACAAAATAAAATGGTGCCATACTGTCATAAGGAGTATATGCCAAATATCATGACATTATGAAATAAATTCATATAGCCATATGTTAGGAAAGTGTCCTAACTTTGAATCTGCTTTAGGTACCTCTTTTCTGTTGCAAATTAGTTTATTATATACTTAGTTTGATACATACTGCTTTTGGTCCACACTCAATCAAAGTTTGATACATAATTACATGTTTTTTTCGGGGCACAAGATAAAAATGTTACATTGCCCGATTCTAGGGGAACGATAATAATTAATCCTAAAATACTCCCTTCGTTCTTTTTTAGTTGCAACGATCAACATTTCACATTGACAACGCACGTCTTTGACCGTAATTATATCTTAATCCTATTAGTAAAAAATATTAAAAATCAGATTTTGAAAATTTGTAATGCGGTGAATTGAACAATATTTTTTTAAAAAAAATCATAAAATAATAGCGCAAAATGTAGTCAAAGTAGAGCATGTGAATAGTGTACCATCTGTACGTGCAATGCTGCTTAGTTAGTAATGTTGCTGTTGGTAAACAAAATTTATCTCAAAGTAATATATTGAGATTATTGTGGTTTCTCTGCCCTCAAACGCATTGCTCTTCATATTTGGAGCATATTGCTTATTGAGTCTCATACATGCATACATAATAAGGCCTAAGATAAAGAATAAAACTCCTACTCCATTTTACCACAATCTAGTGTCCTAATCACTGATCACAATGCTGACAACGGTCACGAATCTTTAAAAAATGGCCAATTATTTCCTGGAGAGATGTGTAAGTACCAACAACCATGATGACAACACCCATAACCACAATGGTAGAGATTATAAACATCTCGAGTTTTAGCCTGCGATAAATTCCCGAGATCTTCAAGAAGCACAAGCAAGGAAGCAGAACTGAAGCCGCGATGCTGAAGCATGCCCCCACAAGTGACATTAAGTACCCAAAAAGCGGAATAGCCAATGCCACAATCACTGTGCTGATTACCAGACTAATTCTGACCAACAGGCTGTGTGATTTTTTACTACAATGAGATGCAAGCATGTTTTCTGTGGCATTCACAAGAGGTTTTACCATCAAAGCATACTTGGCTATTGGATTGATCAGTGTGGTGAAAATGGCCACTTTCGAGCTAAGTTTTCCGAACGGGAGGTTTAAGGTTACTTGAGAGAGTACTTCAGAACCAAACATAAGATACCCCAGGATTGCCATTGACGCATAGCTGATGGTGCATACTAGAAAGCAAACAAGCAGTACCTACAAAAAGAAAACATCAGACCAAACAATGGTCATGTCTAAATATGGTCCAAGAAATTTGGTTTCAAAGGTTAACCTCATCAGAATAAGAGTAAGCTGAAGTCTTATAGTACTATCTCTGTCCCATTATTTCACGTGCATTTAGATTAATTTTTTACGAAGTAAATTCCTATTTTAATGGAGTAATCAAAAGATGTCAAAATAAAATTGAATTGAAGCCTGGCCTGAAAAAACTCAACAGCCACATATTCACAAAAATGGGTTACTGCTACTGGTTCACGTGCAATTAAAACTCTAAACTAAAAGGGAATTTTTTTCGAAAAGGCTAAAACTCCATGAACATCAGCAAGGCACGTCACTCATCCTTCCATCCGAATTCCCTGGCTCGAGTCTCCCACACTTCAGAGAGCTTGCGCTCTTCTGTTAGAGCCGCTTGGGCCCTTTCTCTAGCTTCTTCACCTGTAATTAACGTGTTTGTGTGTTCCAAGCTGTCACTCGTCACATTCTTCAACAAGTTAATCTCTTCTGATAGTAGGGTGATGATTTCATTTTTCATTTCCTCATTCATTTCAGGATTGTCTTTAGCACAATCTGAAATTGAACCATTCAGAAAATGTAAAGGCAAGGGCAACATGGAATCTTCTTCACAGTAGCAGGAACAAGGGGGGCATGAATCTAGACCACTTGACCTCAAGTTGGATCTCCAGAGGACTGATGGCCTTACCATGAAAAGAACCAGAAACAAGCAAACAAATACCACCACACATCTCACTGCCCCTTTGGCTGCACAACCTCTGGTCTGATGGATGAGCCATGAGAAAGTTTCTCTGGCTCACAATCCAAAAAACGCAGGACTGGGTATCTTGTCAAGATTCAGAAAAAGAAAGAAGAATAAAAAATGGAGATATTTGGATTTGAAACTAGTTTTAAGAAAAATAAAGGAGATATTTGGTTTGAAATTGTAATCTTCGAGAAAACGAGTACGAGTCCACAGAAACTAAAAGGTGGAATGATAGATAAAAGGATAAACAGGAAGTAAAAAGTCTGGAGTTCAAGTTATGAAAGTTTTCATATACGAAGTATATCGGGACAAACATCAAGGAGAGTGTACTTTCCAAAATGAAACTGTGGGAGTATGTGAGTTTATATCTTCATATTTGACCACTGTGAGTGAGTTAATATGTCTATGCAAGATATTGAACGTTAGAGCAAACAAATCTGTAAACTCATACGCTCGTTGTTGAGGCTTACCATATTGAATTGCTTGTTAGAGTGATATCATATTAAGAGAAATTAATAGGATAAGAGGTATAAATCAAAACTTCACATATGAGTTTGTATCTTCATATTTGGTCGTAGTGATAAGACTAATCATACATTATATATGAGTTATATATATATTCATAGTGAGAGTGTATCAAAGCTAGCACCTAATCATTTGTATTACCTTAGAGAACTGTCTGGGATTTTCCATTGAAGTATAAAGTGTGGGGAAAACTGGATGGGCACAATAACAAAATGCATAGAGGCTGACAGCAGTTGGGGTTCCTTTCCAGCTAAGAAGGATGTCACTTGAATGAGTACCAATTCCATCTGTTGCACTAGCCCACACCATTGACCCAAGAAGTGTCACCGAAGCTATCACTCCACTTGCAGATATGTAAGACAGGACACTCATGTTGTTCAGCAGAACAGTGGGTAACACAATGAGGCCAACCAAAATCACGAAGCTCACCTTTCCAGCAACAACAATCCCCGCTAGCCTTACCTTAAAGTCTGGAAAGATGTTTTCCAGATTGTCGCCTTCTAGGATCAAGAAACCAGTGGCAACCATGTAGAGCTCCATGTTCATTAATATAGACACCACCGTTCTTCCTGCACTCCCGAAGGCTCGCTCACCAATATCCGGATAGCTCCTTATGTTTGAATCCAAGTCCATGCACCTCTGGATTAGTAAGCCTGTGTAGTAGGTTGTAGCCGCAATGATCAACAGATACATCAAACTCAGCCATCCTCCAGATGCCAATGCATATGGTACCGACAGTATCCCAACTCCTGATACATATATATATCACATATCATATATAGAATATCCAGCAATCCAGCATGAACAACCAATATTCAATCCTATAGGCGTTAGGAGCATTTCCAAGGCAAGAAACAGGACATGAAAATACATAAATCCATTTATTGTCCTAACACGTGTCAAAGACATCATATCAATTGCAAACATGGGGCATAAGTGCCTAGAACATCCAGTTCCATTGAGTTACGGAACCAGAAATTTAGTACTAGGATGGCCGAGGTTCAAACTTTTAAGCTAGGGTCGAAACTTCATATTTTAACATATTTTTTTATAAATTGCAAGTATTTGTATCACACACATATATACACATTCATTTTATAAATTGCAAGTATGTGTATACCCAGACATTGACACAATGACACATATATATTAGATATATACACTTGAATATAATTGGGGAACCGAGGCTCCAGTCCCTCCATGGCTACACCACTGGCCCAAAGAAAATGTGGGGTTACAGCATTCACGTGTGGCATATCATAATGGTGACAAGTGTGCCACCTAACTCTTGTGTAGCATAAAGGGACATTGACCACCGCTAAAAATAAAAAAATATTGTAGTCTCTTATCCCTTAAATCTAAATATATTACTAGTTACCACTTTTTCTATTCATTCCCAAATTAACACGATTTCCATTTAAGGAAGACAATAAGTGCTTCATATCATTTCTCTCTATCTAAATGAAAATCAACCACACAGTCAGTAATTAGTAATAATTGTACTCAGCAACAATACTCCTAATACCAGAAAAAGAAAAAAAAAAAGGGGGGGGGGGGGGGGGGGGGGGGGGGGAAGATAATGTTGGGTTTATCCCTCCAATTCCGAGGATGAATTGGCTCAGTTTTTGGGCTGTGATCTGGGTTTTAAAGCACAATGGGTTTAGCTTCTTTGTAGTTCGTTCTACAGAGAAAAGAAAAAGAGGTGACTACAAACAGCTAGGTTGAAAATAGGAGCTGCAACTGATAGAAAAACTCTGTTAGTCTAGAGGTTCTTTTAAGCCAAGGCAGTGTTGAGAATCTTACCTTTGATACAACAGCAGTACAGAGGTGCTGTGGCGGTTTTCTGTAGCAAGACAGAAGGAAACAGCAAGGAGTTCAGTTCTGTTTTCTGCAGTATCAGAAGGAGGGAAAGCCTCCATTGGCATGTCAAACGAACTCCGATTGGGGCAAAATTCTGGCAGCACCTTCCTAACTTATGGGGATAAATTCTGTCCGGGTTATTTTATAATCAGAGGCCTGTAAGTGCTGTTTCGAATTTGGGTTGTGAACCACAAAAAATCTCGCAGCTTCTGGTTTTTCTGAGGTGTTACTCAGGAAGCTTTGTAGTTGATTCAAGAGATATTCTCTTGATGAAAAAACAGTGTATCCTGATATTGGTGATATAGTGGAAGAGCTGCTGCTTAGTCTAGTGGTTTTTACCTGATTTGGGTTTTCCACCGTAAAAATTCTCCTTTACTCCTTGTTATTGGTTTGCATTTGGGATATTTAGTTTTCAATGAAACTAATTGATTCATAGCAGTTTTCCCAACAGATAAAATCAAACAGTTAAACCTAGCTGGAGGGAAGAGGAGAATGGGAATGATTATGCAGGGGAGGAAATGAATAGAAGAAGAATTATGAGAGTACCTGATAATGCATTGATGCCATTGAAACAAGTCTTGGAAAAAGAAGTTTTCCCAGAAACCTGCGGGTGAAAAACAGCATCAGCATGGTGTTTTTCATGGCCATTCAAGAGATTGACTGTAATTGAAGCATGCCCATCGTCCGATTTGGGATCCATTTCTAAAAATGCAGAAGCTTTCTCAGTTCTGTCACCCGAAACAAAGAAAAAACCAAAAATTGGAGCGACCAGCCGAGAAGATGAAGCTATGAAGAGGCAAAAAAACAAGCTACTACATATTATTAACGCGTACTATTTTTGTACTGCTAGTACCCAGAGCTCCATTAGTTCTTCCAACCCACTAAAAAGGATTAGCACGTTCCAGAGACAGCTCAACAGAAAATGACAATGTAAGTGTCCTACGTTTCTTTATTTTAATCTCTCTTTTCTTGGTGACCCCAGTAATGGGAGATCAGACTTCAGAGGGTCATTTTCCGATGAGTAATCACTAATCAGTGTTCTAAAATGTCGTCTGAGATTTCAGGGAATCTCATCACGGGGCTATGACCAAAGTGCTATAAAAGTATAAAACAGAACAGTTTCGGGCCAGAGAAGTCTTCGCATTTTCGGCCGGCGTGATCGTTTATGATAAATAAAGATCGAACCGTCTTTTCTGAATCTGGATCGGTGATTACAGCGTTTTTCTTTTCTTCAAAGATACAGTGTATTGGACGAGAACAAACAATCCGACAAGAACGGTTGCCATTTTGGTTTTTGACCCTGAAATGTCAGCTGTTGATTGTGAATGAATTGTTGACACACATAATAATAGCCCAAACCGGTATGCGACATGCGTGCATGAAATGTGCAAAGAGCAATTTTTGTGCTTAAAATTCCTTGATCGAAAAGGTCCAATCTTCCATCGGGAGCCCCACATCCCAACCCACCCGACCGAGCACGTGGAAGGATGTAAATAATGTGGGAGGATGTAAATCACTGCTATCATTTCTTGGTCGTATTCTCTAACTTACTACTCTCTTCCTCCCACTACGAGAGAGAGTGACACGTAAACCAATAAAAAGTATTGTATGTGGTTGATATTGAATTGATAAAGTAAGAATAGTTTAAAGTCACACTGATGGATAGTCTACCCGGGGGTATATATCCGAAGGATTACTACGGGGAATAACTTTAGAGAGAAGTCAGAGCAAGTGAATACAGAGAGAGAGAGAGTGTATTATAAATGTGGAGCGTTTTCAGCGTGTTATGACCTGGTTACAAATGGGGAAAAGGGGTGCTATTTATAGTAGCAATAAATGCCGGGCAGGGACACGTGTCAAGCGCTCATTGGTCGAGGGGTCACCTCAACTGGTTGGCGCTGGCAGCCGCATGTGGCCGCATTTAATGCGGCTGTTGGATGGGACGTCTGTGCAGAGTACGGTGATCTGTACGCATGTGAGGCGGATATCTTGTCGAGTGAGATGCCTTCGGCCATAGAGCAGTAGCCGAAGGCTCTTCCTCCCGATGGCACCCCTGGTGCCGAGGGCTCACAGTGCCGAGGGCTGCTGTTTTCGCCGTTTTCTCCCAGTTTCTTAGTTTGCTTGAGAAACCCGTTCTGTGAGAATTTGGAGCCTTCGACCAGGGGGCCGAAGGCACCCCTGGCGTGTAGTGCGGGCTGCTTGGTACTCTGGGCGCTGTGATTTGGGCCTGCTGGGCCTTTTGGGCCTGTTGGGCCTTTGCTTGGAGTAGTAGGAGTCTGTGGGCCGGGGGTTCCCGGGCCATATACTCCATCAGGAGTCCCTCACTCCTTTTGCCGAAAGGTACTTGAGGGAAAAGGAGTAATTTGTGCTTGCCTTTTGATGTTGTCCTGTCGTGATCTCTAAAGTTGGTGAGGAGTTGTTGCTTTTATGTCCCTGCCGAAGGCAGTCCCTCAGTTACCCACATGTCGGGACTTGAGGGCTTGCTTTGTTGTTTGTTGGAATTTCACAGATTTTGTAATTTAATGATTGATCCCGAGGGGGTCCTCCAGTCCCCCACTCCTTGAGGCACTTGTAAAGTGGTGAAAAGGAGTAAAGTAGTTACGTTGCTGTTGTGGGCCGAAGGCTGACGCTTTTCGTTTCATTTTGGGGGGATGCCTCGTTAAAAACCTCATTAGGAAAAACCCTTTGGGAAAAAATCCTAATGAGGGGAAAAGAGTGCACCGAATTCCCCCAATGATGAATCGAAAATGTCCAACCTTGGTAAAAAATGGAGAATGACGGGAATCTCGAAGGCTCGCTCTTCTGAGGGCTCCTGTGTTGATTAGCCGAAGGCTGGCTGTTGATGTCCTGGTGGCGCCGAAGGGGAGCCCCTCAATCCAGGGATCGAGGGCCTGCCAGATGAGGGCAGCAGTGAAGCTGTTACCGGGGGGTCCACTGTATGTTGATGAGTTGGTGATGAAGATACCCGAGGGCTCCCATTACCTGCGTGCCATGGGCCATCCGTCAATGGGGCACACCCCGGGGGCCACCCGGTTTTGTAATGCTGAGGGGGAAACCCCGAGGGGTGCCCTGATATGCAGCCCTAGGGATCTGAAGTAGTGATCCCGAAGGCGACTGTTATGTGTTGTGTGGGTGCAACCCGGGGGCACTTCTGAGTGAGTGTACCCGGAAGCTATCCTCAATGAAGTGGGGTGAAGTAAAAAACCCGGGGGCTTCCAGAATATAGCCGTTGGAAGCATGGCCGTTGGAATATGTAACGACGGGATATAGCCGTTGGGGGGGTGGCACACGTGGCGTGTGATGGCTGGCTGTCCGTGGGCGGCATCGCGGGTTGGGTGAAGATGCGGCGTGTAATGATGGCGTCCACCCGGAGGCCCGGTTTTCGGGCCCAAGCCCAGACTCTGGGGTCTATAAATACCCCGGAGCCAGAGCCATTCCTTCCTTACGCGTTCAAAAATCCTTAGCGAAGCTCTGCCAAAAATTCTAGAGAGAGAACTCGAGCCCTCGGTCACTGCGCTTTTAGAGGTTAGTTCTCCCTTCGCTCCTCAACACTCTTTGCAAGTTCCACCCTCTGGCCTTAGTTTAGGGTTAGGGTTCCGTAGAAACACTTCGAAACTTTAGGCACATTTTCTTGGCAAAGAATGTCGTCCGAGAGTGATTCCCAGAATATATCGAGGGAGCCCTCGGTTGAGGATGAGGTTGCTTCAGATGTTGAGTCAAGCAACAGTGCGCCCTCGGTTACCGATGACGAAGTCGTGGCCTTGGACTTGCAGAAGGCTCTTGCTGCTGAGGTGGAAGCCGAAGGCTTCGAGCAGGAGTGTGAAGATGAAGAACTAGCCCTCGCGTGTCAGGTGGCGGAGGACGAAGCCCAAAAGGAGGCGATGAGGGTTACTGTTGCTGTGCCACCCCCTCGGAATGACTGTGGTGAGCCTAGTACCTCCAGACCGTTGGACCCGACGCCTCTGAGGATAGCCCCCGGTAAGAAGAAGACAAAGTCGCAGAGGGCTGCCCCTAAGAAGAAGAGTGTGGCCGCTGGTGCTGGGGGGCCCGTTGAAATGCCAGAGGGCTATACCTGGCTAAACACCGAGGCCCTCGATATTAAGTCGAAGGCGGACAGGGCTGACTTGTATGTCACACAGCTGCACGTTGGGCCCTCGGCCGTAGTGGTGGAGCCAAGCGTCGATGATCTGCTGTCCCGGCCTCCGGAGGGATGCATTGTCGTCCACGTTCTGTCAGTGTCCATGGGCCTCCGGTTCCCCCTGCATCCATTCCTCCGGGAGTACCTCCGGTTTGTTGGACTCATCCCCTGCCAACTTACCCCCAATAGCCATTCATACATTGCTGGCTTCCTGCACCTGTGCCGGACGAGGGGTGTTACCCCAAGCTTGGACCTCTTCTTCCAAAGCTTCAACCTGTGCCGGAGGGGGGGGGGGGGGCACGCGAATGCCGAGGTCTTCGCCAATTTACAGCAGGTAGCAAAGTTCAAGCTGTTTACCGAAGCGCCCTCGTCCAATAAGGGCTGGAAAGATAGATGGTGCTACGTCCGGCTGGCTGAGAATCCCTTCCCGAAGGAGCTACGGGGCCGCTTTCGGCGCCACGGGAGGGTGGGGAGTGCTGCCCTAGAGAAGGATGGCCTGAAACTCGCCAAGATTCCGGAGGGCAAGACGAAGGTCGTGACGATCAAAGAATGCACCCTCGAGGAAGACTTGCATGCCCTCGGGTTCCGACGGTACCGGTTCATCGGTGAAGCGGATGAGAAGTACCCTGTCTTCACTGAGGCCTTCGGGGGAGCAGGAGGTAGGCTACGAGGGCCCCTAGTCTCCTACTTAGGCATTTTCATTTTGCATCCCGATAGTTGATTTTGGTATGAACCCTTCGGGTTAACATTCTCTTTGCTTTGTTTTGCAGGTATGGAGGCTCTCTTCGCAATGAAGAAGAAGAAAGAGAGGGCGCAAGCCCAAAAGAAGGAGAAGACGGAGCCCTCGGGTCAAAAGCCCATTGATGAGGTTTTCCCGAAGGAGACCGCAGAGCCTTCAGCTGCTGCTGCTCCCGTTACTGCGGCCGGGGAGCCGAAGGCTGACGTGGCAGCCAAGAAGAAGAAGGGGGGCAAGGGGGTGGAGCCCCCGATCAAGAAGCAGAAGGTTGCCGGGGACGCCGTTGAGAAGGCGGACCCCCTCATAATGCTCGATGATCAGCCCTCCGCTGATCCCCCGGCAATTGATACTCCGATGGCTCAGACAGACCTTCCCTCGGGGAAGATGCCTCGGGAGATTATTCGGCTCTCCCTCGCTCCGGGGGCATCCGTATTGCATGGCTCAGCTGAACCGTTGTCTTTCCTGAGGGGGATAACCTCGATGATGGACAAAGAAGCCCTCTCCACTTATAACGATTACGCCCTCGAAGCCAGGGCCCTTCGGTCAGCTCTGACTGTAAGTGTTTCCACTTTGACTTGATCTCAATATTTTATCATAATCCCAATGCCCGTCTGAACCCTCTGTCCGTTGTTCAACAGGCATGCATAACCTTCGGTGAGCAGGCCCGAAGGCGAGAGGAGTGGTGCCGTCATAAGGTCGAGCTAGAGAGGTCCGTGGAGGAGCTGATTCGCGACAAGGACGCTGCCCTTCGGGAGGTGTGTAAGTTGGAGGATGCCCTTCGGCAAGCGGAGCTGCGGCTGAAGGAGGCCAAAGAAGACGGGAAGGCCGAGGGCAGGGCTGAAGCCGAGAGGGTTGCGGCCGAGGAGAGGAAACAAGCTGCTGAGGACGCCGAGAAGGCCAAAGCTGAAGCTGCCGCAAAAGCCCGGGAAGAGGCCATTGCTGGGTTCACCTCCGAGGGCTGGAAAGCCGAGGGCCAGAGCGAATGGGTGGCCTCTGTGGTGAAGGCCTCGATTGAGGAGTGGGTGAGGGGCCCCGGGCTGGACTGGATGAATGAGAGGGGCGACACCTACTATCAAGCTGGCGAGTTCTTCACCCAGCACCTGGTTTACCGGAGGCTCGCCCGGCATTTTGGCACCTCCCTGGATGAGTTCAATCCCTCGGTGTACGGCCTCCCCCCGTTGCAGCCAGATGTTCGGGTCCCCCTTCCCGAGGGAGAAGAGCGCCCGGTGATTCATGATTCCATGATGATGGGCGCCGATGATGATGCCGAGGACGCCACCGGGACGGAGGTTACCTCAAAGCCATCGGGGGAGGGTGCCCCCGGGGATGATGCTGCTGTAGTTGTAGAGTGACTTCATAATTTGTAACGTCTGAATATTTTTTGTAACAATCAACATTGATCCTTCGGCTTCGGCCCGTTTGTAATAGTAACATCGCAATTACACTTGCTTTCTTTTTTATGATTGAATGATCGCCTTCGGGCTTTGTATATATGACTTGTTCCCTTCGATTCCTTTATTCTTGGATGTATGCCTTCGGCATTTTTGAATGTATGTGTTTGTTCCTTTGAATGTATGTCTTAGGATTTAGAATACTATCTGATTGTAGCTAGCCCTTGGGAACCTTCGGTAGTTGGGCACCCTCTGCTGGATATGCAACCGATGGTTCGACAGCAATTAGGACTTAGAAAATTTTTTCTAAGTGTAGCACAGCATGAGGCCTTCGGGCGTTTGTAGTAACCCACCTCCTAGGACTTAGAAAAATCTCTAAGTGTAGATTCCCCCTTGAGAGCCTTCGGGATATGGCGCCCATTCCTTATGTGTGAATGTTGGACCGAGGGCCCAATGCACAGGACTTAGAGATTTTTGCAAGTGTAGTATGCCATGTAGCCTTCGGCTACTGTGGAGCCCCACCTGTAATATTGAATAGGCCGGGGGCTAATTCTTTTAGGACTTAGAAGATTTCCTTGAGTGTTGATTCCTTGTGAACTGTAGCCCTCGATTGATAGGTAGCCTTCAGCAATTAGGTCCCTCGAGATGAGGGCGAAATATGTAGGACTTAGAAAATCTTCTAAGTGTAGAGTTTCCCTTGGGAGCCTTCGGGAGATGGCATCCCTTCATGATGTATGAGTAGTTGACCGGGGGGAAATATGCAGGACTTAGAAAAATCTTCTAAGTGCAAAATCTCCCTTGGGAGCCTTCGGGAAATGGAATCCCTCCTTGATGTATGGCCTTCGGCTGTCACATTCCTCTAGCTGCAATACTAATTGAGCCGGGGGCCCATCTTTAGGACATAGAAATTTTCTTTGTTTGCAAGTGTTGTTTGTATTTCATAGCCTTCGGCCACCATATTCCCTTGGCTGTAATATTGATTGGGCCGGGGGCCCAATCTTTAGGACTTAGAATTTTTTCCAAGTGCTGCTTCCCTGTGTAGCCTTCGGGTGCCCGGGGGCTGCTCCTTCAGGACATCAATTTTTCTAAGCATAAATTGATGTTGAATCCTGTTGTTGTGAAGAAAGCCAATGAAGAGTGTGTGCCCTCGGCATACACTTCAAAAGTTGTAGAATTTGACCCTTGTCATGGGACCTTTGTTTGAGTGGTATCCTTCGGGAAATATGAGCCTTCAGTAACCGGGGGTGTTCCCGTGGGGAGCCCTCGGTTTGTTGTGATCTGTTGGAGTGTACTCTTTGATTTCTCGCTGAGTCTACTCCCCTTCACCCCCCCCCCCCCTTTTTTTTGGTTGGTGGTGAAGGAAAGGCATCAAGAAACTTGTTTTCTTGGTAAGGCTGGGCCTATTAGGAGACCATCAGAATACACCAATGGCTCTCCTCCCTCGGGTTAACCTTCCGAGTGCCGAGGGGATCGAGGGACGTTTCCTGGGCACAAGATATGGTGGTCCGTAACCTGCCTCCCCTTGGGGGATGGCGCGGAAAGCGCCTCATTTTTGAAAGTCGTCCCCTCGGCGCTAGACATAGTCTGTGGCCTGCCACACCCTTGGGGTGGTGGCGCGGGGAGCGTTTCGGTTTGGAAGTCGAATCCTGGGCATTTCTCATGCCTGTCATACCCTGGGGGTAATGACGCGGATAGCGTTCCGTTTTTGAAAGTCGAATCCTGGGCATTTGTCATGCCTGTCATACCCTGGGGGTAGTGACGCGGAAAGCGTTTCAAGGAAGTGTTTTCATTTGCACACTAGTTGCAAATGGTCGGGGGCACTACGTGCCGCCGGCACCGATGGTGGCGCCTTCGGTATATGCGTCCTCGTGGGGTACGGCTTTAGAAACAACACTTGGTGTTAGTTTCGATGTGTAGCCCCCGGTACTTGGTACCGAGGGGTCTTCTGTAGGAACACTTGGTGTTCCGTAGGAACACTTGGTGTTCTCTTTTATCGTAGTTGATGGAGGTGCCTACCCTCGGTACTTGGTACCGAAGGGTCTCCAAATGAAACACTTGGTGTTTCCCGACAAATGTTTGGAAGTTGATAGGAGAGTATATCCCTGGCACTGGGTGCCGAGGGGTCTTCTTTGATGATGTTTGATGATGGAGGTGTACCCTCGGCACTGGGTGCCGAGGGGTCTTCTGTAGGAACACTTGGTGTTCTCATCTTTTCTTTTTTGGTGTTGAAGGTGGGGATGTGCCCTCGGCACTGGGTGCCGAAGGGAAATGAATTACATGGCGTTCTTTGTTGTTGGTGATAGGAGTTCCCTCCCTTGGTACTTGGTGCCGAGGGGTCTTGACTGAAAACACGTGGTGTTTTCACTGCTTGTTGTAGGTGTTGATGGTGTCCGCCCTCGGCACTTGATGCCGGAGGGGGTTCTTCTCGTGGTGAGGCCTGGGGCCTGTAGTCAGTATGAGGGCTTGATGTCTTGAATGCATCTTCATTCTTCGAAATTGGAGGCCTTGGGCCTTTGGATAGTACATTCACTAGTTATGAGGGCTTGGCCGCTCTTACATTATTGATAAAATTTAACTAAATGGTGTACATTCCAGTGCCTAGGGACCTCTTTCCCGTTGGGGCGTTTGATTTTGTAAGTCCCGGGATTGATGATGGCTGCTATGATGTAGGGGCCTTCGAATTTTGGTGCCATTTTTCCTCCCTCGGTTGGTTGGCTGGCTTCCCTCCTCCGGAGGACATAGTCCCCCACTTGAAATTCCCGGGTTCGAACTTTGGCGTCGACGTAGCTTTTAACTTGCCTTCGGTAGTTTTCTGCCCGGATGAAGGCCTGCTCCCGGCGTTCTGAAATGAGGTGCAGGTCGAGGGCCATGTTGCTGTCGTTGACCTCGGGGTCATATTGGATCACCCTTCGGGTAGGAAGGGTGACTTCCGTAGGAGCTTTGGCTTCAAAACCGTAGCAGAGGGAGAAGGGTGTTTCACCTGTAGCGCGTCGAGGGGTAGTGCGGTAGGCCCAGAGGATGTTGTGAAGTTCTTCCACCCAGCCACCACCCTCGGCCTCCAGCTTCTTTTTGAGGCCCTCGAGCAAGGTCCGGTTGGCGTTCTCTACCTGCCCGTTGCCTTGAGGGTAGGCAACGGAGGAGAAGGTGTGTTTGATGCCCCATGCCTCCAGAAGGGCACAGAAGGGGGCTGCCTCAAATTGTGTTCCATTGTCGGAGATGATCTGTTGGGGGACGCCAAACCTTGTGAGGATGTTCTTGAGGACGAAGTGACGGCACTTCGCCTCTGTGATGCTGGCGAGGGGTTCAGCCTCCACCCATTTGGTGAAGTAATCGACGGCCACAATGATGTACCTGTTGTTGGAGGTACCCCTCGGCAGAGGGCCCACAAGGTCTATCCCCCATCGAGAAAAAGGGAGAGATGTGCTGATGGGGGCGTAGTTGACCGCTGGCCTGCCGGGGGCTTTCTGGAAATGTTGACACGCGGTGAACCTCCGGGCAAGATCAGCACAATCCCTGGCCATGGTTGGCCAGAAGTAACCCTGGAGAATGAGCCTTCGGGACATGGAGAAGGGTCCCTGGTGAGCTGAGCAAGTGCCACTGTGCACTTCCTCCATTGCGACCTCGGCTTCATCTGGATGAAGGCACCGAAGTAGCGTGCCATTGTAAGATCGTTTGTAGAGCCTCCCATCTTCGATGGTGTAGCTGGGAGCCCTCAGCTTTGCCAGTTTAGCGCGGGCCTCATTCTCGGGTAGCTGCCCTGTGGAGATGAAGGCGGTGATATCTGAGATCCAATCCTCCTGACGTTGTTGTATGTTCATCACGGGGCTTGCATGGATGCTTGAGAGGCTGAGTTCCTCGATTTTGGCAATTTTGGAGATGTGCTCGGGGGAGTCTGCCGAGAGCTTAGATAATATGTCGGCCTCGGAGTTCTGAGCCCTCGGTATTTGGGTGAGAGAGTGTGCCTCAAATACCTTAAGCAACTCCTTGGCCGCCTCCTTGTACTGCTTCATTCTTCCCTCCTTGGCCTCATATTCTTCGGAGATTTGGCCAACGACCAACTTGGAGTCGCATTTGATGTGGATCTGTCGAGCCCTCATGTTGGCAGCCAGCCGAAGGCCACATAGGAGGGCCTCATATTCGGCCTCGTTGTTGGAGACCTTGAAGGAGAAGCGGATTGCATAGTAGGCCCTGAAGCCCTCGGGCGTAATGAGGACTACCCCTCCTCCGCATGCTTTGGTCGCGGAGGAGCCATCAGTGTAGAGGGTCCACCAGTCGTCCGAGGCAGCCGAGGGCTCCCCGTCCGTGGCTGCCCTTGCGGTACATTCCGTCACAAAGTCCGCTAGGGCTTGGCCCTTGATGGCAGGCCTTGGACGGATGTCAATGTTGTACTGGCTCAAGAAGATAGCCCATTTAACCATGCGGGAGGAGCTGGTGGGGCTCCTCTGCGTTGGTGAAGGTGATGGGTTCCTCCCTCAATCGCTTTACCGGGGGCATATGAGTGACTTCCCCTACACAAAGCGATTGAGCCCACTTCTTTCGCTGGCTGGTGGAATCACCCCCTGTGTTGCCACCGGTGATCATGAGGATGTGGCGTTTCTTCTCCTGGTAGTGGGGGTATTCCTCCTCCTCTTCTTCCAAGTTTCCGATCTCCCTCTTCTTGCCGAGGGGGATGGTATTCGGGTTTACCCAAGCGTTTACCTTCGTGTGATGCCCTCGGGGAGGCCCCTGATGAGAAGGTCCCTCCTGCCGAGGGCTCTGGACAAATTGGGACAGGTGCCCCGCCTGTATTAATCTCTCGATGGCCGTCTTCAGCTGATGGCAGTCATCGGTCCTGTGCCCCTGGTGCCGATGGAAGCGACAGTAGGGGAACTGAGGGTTGATAGCGTGTACCTCCGGGGGTGCAC